TACACCCCTGTATGATGTTATTCCTAACAGCCAGGGGGTAGAGGATGTCATCATTGAAACTATGGCAGTGGGTGTACATCCGTTCGGTCGTCTTGTTCCTTATATCCTGGGTGGGAGAGGATGATACAACTCCCAATATAGCAGGGGGTGTACATCCTCCTGTGATATTGTTTCCTATATGCAGGGGGAGAGGATGATATTACTCCCAATATCGCAGGGGTGGTACACACCTCCTGCGACATTGTTCCTAATATCCCGAAGGGGGAGAGCATATTACTCTCAATATGGCAGGGGGTGTACACCTCCTTTGTAATATTGTTCTTAATATCCATGATGGGAGAGGATGATATGACTCCCAATATCACAAGAAGTGTAAGGCTGCCTGTGATAGAGTTCCTAACATCTAGGTGGGGAGAGGATGATATTACTGCCCATATCGCACGAGTTGTAAAATCCCTTCGATATTTTGCCTACAATCCTGAGGGGAGAGGATATTATTCCCGATAGCAAAGAAGGTATACAACCCCCTGTGACACTATGCTCAATATCCGCATTGGGAGACGATGACATTACGCCCAATATCACAGGGGATGTACACCCACCCTGGGATATTGTTTCTTATATCGAGAGGGGGAGAAGATGCTATTGCTCCCAGTAACGCAGGGGCTGTGGCTGTACACCCCTCCTGTGATATTGTTCTTAATATCCTAGGGAAGAGAGGGTGATATTACACTCAATATCTCATGGGCTGTACGGTGTCTGCTCAGAGATGTGTGGGGCTCTCTTACACCAGTAATTCCTTCTCTAACTGTAGTCACATACTGGTCATCCAGGGGCCTCCTAAAATCCAGCAGCATAAAAACAAGTGGAATTTCTGAGAACCAAAGATGGCGCACGGTTCTGGTTGGGCTGCCACAGGCAGTTTTGTGAAAAAACAGAGATGTATTTCCCACAGTTCTGGAGTCTGGAGGTCTAAGGTCAAGGTGAGTTCAGGGCTGGCTCCTCCTAAGGCCTCTCTCCTTGACTTTCTGATGGCATCTTCTCTTGTGTCCTCGTGCGGTTGTCACTCTATAGATGTCTGTGTCCTGATCTCTTCTTACAAGGTCATCAATCCTAATGACTGTTACCTTAATCACCTCTTTAAAAGGCCTATCTCCACATACAGACGCATTCTGAGGTCCTGGGTTAGGAGTACAACCTGGGAATCTTGGGGTATGCAACTAAACTTGAAGCAGATGGGGTCTTATGAACCTGTATCACCCAAGCTCATGCCAGAGCCCCATGAGGGAGCCCCATGTCCCCCCTTTGATATGGTTTAGCTGTGTCCCCACCAAAATCCCGTCTTAAATTCTCATGTGTTGTGGGAGGATGGAAGTGATAATTTGACAGCAGAGAAGACAGTTGCCGCCAGGGAGGGGAGAGGGGACCCCAGGCCTTCGAAGTTTGGAGGGTCTCGGGCCCCTGGGCAGAGCAGGCAGCCCCACCCCTGTGACACCCCTGATGACCGCTCAGTAGTTGGAAAAGGTGGAATCATAGGCAGAGGCTGGTTGGGGAGATAGGAAGTTGTTGAATGAGTTTTTAAATATTTCCATCAAAATTCTTACTGCACCCTTGGTGTTGATGGGGACTAGTGGCTTCACCATGTGCCTGGCTTCTTCCTGGCTCTGACTCTGGAGGCCTGGCCTAGGGCTGCTGGTTGGATTCATTGCTGGCAGCAGGTAGAAGGTGGAGGAGGGAGAGGAGCTGTCCTCCCTCCTCTCTTAGTCATGCCTGTCCACGTTAGCAGCCCCTCCCCAGGCATCCCTTGCCCATGATCTGGGGAGTGCTATTCTCACTTCCCTTGGGCCCTGCCCACCGAACTCCAAAGAATCCCTTCAGTGACTCCTTTTAATCACCCTTTGCCTGTGACAAAGTCTTCTGGGGCCTCCTGACTGATCTAAGGAGAAGCCTGGCTATCTGTGCAACTTGTTAAAGTGAAGTGAGTCATTCACACTGGCATGTATCTACAAGTCACACAGCTTTGCAACTGGAGTGACTTTAAGCTCATCGAACCAAAGCTTCCATGACAGATGAGGACACCCAAGAATCATAGGATAGAAGTGACTTGCTCCCATCTGGGTCGGCCAAGCTGAGACTCAAGCGTAGAGTCTAGCAAAGCACACTTCGTCCTCCCTTAGAAGAAAGATCCTGCCCGCAAGGCTCACCTCCACCTACCCTAGGTCTCCCCCACCCTCCCTTAGAGGGAAGCTCCTGCCAGCATGGCTTACCTCCACCTACTCTGGGTTTACCCCACCCTCCCTTAGAAGGAAGGTCTTAGAAGGCAGCACATTCACCTTCCCCTACCCTAGGTATCCCCCACCCTCAGAGGGGAGTCTTTGGGTCAGTCACAAGACTACTCCGGACATCTGTAAGAACAAATAGTTTCCAGCACAGTCCTTTCCTGGGGTCTGCCTTTTCCCTCTGGGATGCTTGGAAGTTGAAGGAGTCAGGCAATTCAAGTTCTCCCTGGTATCTCAGGGGCCACTGACACACAGGAAAATGTGCTGCTCTGCTCGCTGTTTGACTTTGATGGATGCTAATTTGTTCTAAATGAGCCTGACATTCATGAGCATGTAAACATATGTTACTGGTGGCGGCTCGCAGGGCCACATGCTGATGGATCTCGTGGGCTGTCCCCGCCGGACACCACCAGGCTGCCTGGGTCTTTGCTGCTTCTGGCTAAGGCTCCAGATGTTGTTTTTCTTGCACTATGAAGTAGGCATTTTAGCTACAGGGATATATATATATATATATATATTTTTTTTTGCACAAAAGAAACAGACAAATCTGTGAAAAGAACTTGAGTTTATGCGCCAATCTACTGGAAGGAGCCTCTTAGAATGTCAGCTGCTCAGTGTCTGCTTTGACTCCCAGGCCGTTCTCTGTCCTGTGGCTCAGAGACTCTGTGGGGCTGAATTATACATTTGATCTCGTTCTGCTCAATATTTCCCCACAAGTAGTGTTTAGGATGCGACTGATGCCTTTAAAGATATCTGCAGCAGGAATAGTGCAGAGAAAAAAACACTCTATGCTAAAATATTTTGAGCTGAAGGCCATTAAGAAGTGCTCTGGCCTTCCCTCTAGTTTCTGAAAAGCACACAACATAATATTATACAAAGACAAAAGTGCCCTTTCTCCCCTCTCTGCCAGAAAGGATGCAGGTCAATCTCTGCAGACAACTTCAGACCCTTATCATTCGGGAAACAGCACCAGAGGAATTTACACAAAAATCTATCATTTATTGGCCTTCCCACAATTTGTTGCCCCCAATGACCCAAAGTCCTTTTACTTTGTCTTGGCTCTTCTATAAACATTTATTATCCTTGTTGAAGATGTTATATAAAAGAAAGCTCTGAGCTGTCTCTTTGAGATTCCCTCATTCCCAGTGTATCTCCCATGTATATATGAAATATACATGCTAATAAGCCTCCGTTTGCTTTTTTTGGGGTTCATCTGGTTTTGTTATAGGAACCCCAGCCAATGAAGCTAAGATGGGTGGAAGAAAAGATTACATTTTTCTCCCCTGTAGTAGCATTATTCTAACAATAGCATTTTTTTTTTGTAGATTTTTGTTGAATACACACACACACACACGCACGCAGACACAGCAATGTAAAAAGAAAGAAGTGTGCGGAGTCCTGATGAAATTTTAGGTCCCAGATTCCTAAATATGTTGGGAAGTTGTCTTTAAACATTGATTTTTTTCCCACATTTACTCTCATATTTTTTTTTTTCTGAGATACCATTTCTAGATTGTTTTCCTACATTTTCTTGCAAGTCCGAGAGAGTATGCTGGTTAGTAGTGTGTCCAATGCACCACCTCTGTCCTTGTCAGTAAAGAAATGTAGTAATTGAGAGGGATATGAGAGTCACACTACACAGGGACGGAAACACAGATATGAAGTAAATAAAAACACGTGAAAACCCAGCATTTCTGGAACTCTCACCTACTCCTGTGCTGATATTCATCCTTCAGCTCTGCCTCCGTTCTTCCCTTCTTTTCTCATGCTATAGGGTCTGCTTTGGAGATGTTATCTACTTTCATTCTTCCAAAGTCAAGCTTCTAGCTTTGGTTGGAACTGCAGACCCATTGACTCATTCAGCAAATACTTTCTAAGCACATGGATAGTCACTGAGAATACCATGGTTCACCAACATGACCGTGGCCCCTGCTTTCACGAACCTGCGGCCTGATGGGGAGAATGGACACTAATATGACAATCACTCAATGGGTTTCTGATGAAGAATTGAGGAAAGCGCACCAAAGAAAGGGAAGTGGGATTCTCTAAATTTATGCTGTAAAAGAACTTGATGTATCTTGGGATAAGAGGTAGAAAACTGATGCATTCTGGAAGGCATGATCCCCTTGCAGTCTGGAGAGAAGTAGAGGTTGATTGTTGAGGCGGGTGGAGTGTAGGGACACCACGGTCTAAACAGAGATGGGGGTGCTTGCAGAATGCCTCTTGCAGCAGGAAACAGGCACGTGCAAGGAAGTAAGCACGGGAGAAAGTGGCACAAGACAAGAATGAAGGCAGGCAGGCAGGGGCTGGGAGATGATGGTAGATGCTTTATTCCCTTAATAACAGCAATGGCATGCTGTTGAAAGCACTTGAGGGAGGTGGGGAAGTGGGTATGACATGTTTAGTGTTTGTAAAATTATCACATTGTCTTACCCAACTTTACTCTTTTTTATTTTTAAATTTTACTTTCTTGGATACATGTGCCATGGTGGTTTGCTGTAGCTGTCAACCCATCATTTAGGGTTTAAGCCCTGCTTGCATGAAGTATTTGTCCTAATGCTCTCCCTCCTCTTGTCTCCACCCCCCAACAGGCCTCCGTGTGTGTGGTTCCCTTCCCTGTGTCCATGTGATCTCATTGTTCAGCTCCCACTTATGAATGAGAACATGCGGTGTTTGGTTTTCTGTTCCTCTTTTAGTTTGCTGAGAATGATGGCTTCCAGCTTCATCCATGTCCCTGCAAAGGACAGGAACCCATTCGTTTTTATGGTTGCATAGTATTCCGTGGTATATACGTGCCACATTTTGTGTATCCACTGTATCATTCATGGGCATGAGATATCCTCTTAACATGTGATCCAGCAATTGCACTCTTCGGTATTTATCCAAAAGAGTTGAAAACTTGTGTTCACAGAAAAACCTGCACATGGACATTTATGGAAGCTTTAATCATAATTGCTAATTTTATTCCAGCTTTATTCATAATTGCTCAAACTTGGAGGCAACAAAGAAACCAAAATGTTCTTCACTAGGTGAGTGGATAAATAACCTGTGATATATCCAGACAATGGAATATTCTTTAGCACTGAAAGGAAGTGAGCTGTCAAGCCATGAAAAGACACGTAGGAACTTTAAACATGCATGGCTACACAAAAGAGGCCCATCGGAAAAGACTAAATACTGTCAGCTTCCAACTAAAGGACATTGCGAAAAAGGCCAGACTATGGAGTGAAAATATCCGTGGTTCCCAGGTGTTGGGAAGAGGGAGAGATGATGTGAAACACGGAGATTTTTAGGATTTTAGTGCAAGTGCTCTGTACGATGCTATCATGGTGGATACATGTCATGACATATTTGTTCAAACCCCATAGAACCAGCACCAAGACGGAGCCCTCATGTAAACTGTGGACTCTGGGTGACAATATGTCAACGTAGGTTCTTCAGTTACTACAAATGCTCCTTCTGGGCAGGAGTGTTGTTAGTGGGGGAGGCTGTGCACGTGGGGGAAGGGAAGGCATATAGAAGGCCTCTCTGCACCTTTCCCTCAATTTTTCTGTGAACGTGAAACTGCCTAAAAGATAAAGTGTATTTTTAAAAAACAAAGGAAAAGGAAACAAAAAGTCCTCACAAAAATCAAATGAGAAAATGATCACACTGGGTGCTTCAGGTCAAAATGGAAGAACAAGGGCTGTATTTACCATCCCACCTGAGGACTTTTTTCTCACTGCTTTTCAGCATTTTTTTGGAGTCTAGTCAGTGCAATAAGGCAAGTTGAAATATATAAAATGCACCCTTATTAGAAAACAAGATTTAAAACTATCTGTACCTTCAGGTGACGTGATCACCTGTGTGGAAAATCTCCTGAAATCACAAAAAGCCACTAAAACTAATAATAACTTCTTAATAAGTGAGTTAGGAAAGCTTGCAAGATACAAGCTAAACACATAAGCAATATTTATTTCTTTATATACTGGCAAAGAAATAATTGGAAATGGAAATTTACAAAGCAATATTAAGACTAAATCTGACAAAAGACGTGTAAGATCTATACACTGAAAAGCAGGCAGTGATGCTGAGATAAATTAAAGAACTAAATAAATGAAGTGATATACTGTGTTCATGGATCAGCAGGCTCAATATTGTTAAGATGTCAGTTCTGCCCTTGTGGATCAGAGGTTTAATGCAATTCCAATCAAAATCCCAGCATGATTTTATTTTTATTTTTATTTTTCCAGTAGAAATGAACTAGCGGATTCCAAAATGTGTCCGGAAATTTAAAGAACCCCAAAGAGCTAAGACAACTTGGAAAAAAACGGTGGAGGACTTACCTGAACTATCAAGATAGTGTGGTATTGGTACAATAAGAGAAAACTGGGTTAATGAAACCTCCTAGAGGGTCTAGTAATAATCTCACAAACATGTTACATATACGTAGTGGATTTTTGAATAAAGGTTCAAAGACATTAAATTAGAGAAAGGACGATGATGATAGAAGGATTAAATACCATAGGCAAAAAAGAGAAAAAAAGAGCTCCTGCTAAATATCTTCACATTGTTGTCACTCATGCAATTCAATTCACATTTTGTGTGTCTAAAAGTTGAACAGGCCTCTTCATTCTCTTTCCCCAATTCACTCCACAGAGATGCTGATGTCTTTCAGTGGAACTTGGAAGTTTGCTCTTCTTTTTAAAATGACTCTTAGATACTGTTTATGCAAGAAGTTATGGGACTGTAACTTACAAATACTGTTCTAAACCTTGGAATCACATATTCCCCTTTTTCTCTACTTATCGTTTCTAATCAGTTTCCCATTTCCTCTTTCTCCTTCATATTTACACTGCATTCCTTTTAGTTCAGGTTCTTGTTACCCCACTCGATCTCTTGATGCGGTCACCTGAATGTCCTTCGTGTTCCAGCCTCCTGGAATCCTTCCTTCATGACCCTGCAGAACTGCCCTCCAGACCAGCAGGTGTGACCCGGAATCAAGGATCTCAAAGCCAAGTGGGATCTGAGAGGCTATCTAGACCAATCCTCCATTACAGACGTATACTTTTTGATGACTTCACTTCAGAGCCCAAAACATTTGCACTGCAGGCAGAATCACCTAAATCACTTGATGCGATGTTCAGTCTTCCCGTGGTATTTTCCTATCTGCATCTCCCTACTTTCGGTCAGCCATTTCTCATGACACGGAATCCTTCATTCACAACACATTATTATTATTCTCCACACACACACATTTGTTTTCTGCCTGGGTTTTTTGTTACATTATTCCCTCTGCTGGAAATACCATTTTCCAAGATCTGACTACAGAATTTTAACGTATTCCTCAGAATGATTCACATATCACATATTCTACCAAATGGCTGCAGATTCTGTCACCTCCTCTCTTATCCTACGGCAACCTGGAGAACGTTCTTCTCTTAGCCAATAGGATTTATCATGGTCCTTTATCTTAACAATAGTTTAGCGGGACTGAGGACTGGGAAGTACATTTTTCTCCCAGGGGTGAGAACTGTCTTAGTTTAGCAGATCTCTCTGGGTCTCCATTCTGGTTGTAGAAAAGCAACCCATAGGGCATGGTGGGGAGGAGAAGAAGGGGAACTAAGCTGTGTTGCATGAAGATGGACAGTTGTGACCCTTACTCCGGGGTTGGGAGTTGAGGCCACTAGGAAGGAGAAGCTATAAGGATGAAGACGAGGCATAAAAAGTGATGCAGGCCGGATGCGGTGATTCACGCCTGTAATCCCAGCACTTTCGGAAGCCAACGTGGATGGATCACGAGGTCAAGGGTTCAAGACCAGTCTGACCAATATTGTGAAACTCTGTCTCTACCAAAAATACAAAAATTAGCTGTGTGTGGTGGCACGGACCTGTAGTCCAGCTACTCAGGAGGCTGAGGCAGGAGAATCACTTGAACCTGGGAGATGGAGCTTGCAGTGAGCCAAGATCATGACACTGCACTCCAGCCTGAGTGACAGTGAGACTTCATCTCAAAAAAAAAAAAAAATCATAGTAAAAAGACTGCGTGAGGAGAAGAGGCAATCAGCAACCTTCTCCAGGGTGGGATGGCTTGAAGGCCCTTTAAGAAAAAAGGTGTCTACTTTCCTTCTGTAGGTTGCTCTATCGTGATTTAATGAACCCTCCCAATCTACTGTATTCAGTATTTGGCATGAGTCAATTTAGGGGAATTGTAGAAAACATAGCTGGCTGTTATCAGGTTAATGTAGATTGGGAGGAAGGGAAAAACCCCAGGAGACACGTAGGAAGGACAATAGGTGAAAATAGAAGAAACTTGGAGTCAGTTCACCCTTCAAACAAAATCCAGTTTCTAGAAAACACTGTGAGGGCTGCTGGGTCTTCATCATCCGAAGATGGGGGATTCCAGATAATTATATTTGAATCGCAGAAGATGGGGGTGATCACCACCAGCTCTCAAATGGGATGAGTTACAATATCTTCTATCGGGAGGAGGTAAATAAGAGGATAGGTACACGTCTATAGTCATCACAATTTTGTCAAGATTACTCTTTTTACTTCCATGTCATAGAGGGAGAGCCTGATGCTTGTGGAAATGATTTGCTCAGGGTCTCACCATCAAAAGTTGCAGAGGAAAGATTCCAACATGTTTTAAAAGCTGCAAACTGAGCTGACTCCCATCCATGCTGTCATACCGATTTTGAGATTTCAATACTCCTGAAGGCAGGAAACTTATTCCACTTGCTTTTATATCCTCCATAACACTAGCGAGCAAGTTTTGCTCAAAGTAACATGGAATATTTTGCTGACTCAAGGGGAAAAAGAAGAGACTTAAATACACCATCACAAGTCAACATTCAAGGAACAGAGACAGATTTAGCATTAGCTGTCTCAGTCAAATCAACATTAACATGTACATTTATCCTTTACATGGGAGTAAGACAGCAAACACAATTGAAAAAATAAGCCAAGTGTAAAAATTTGTCACAAAGGGATGGATTTAGACAGGAGAGCAGTGAAGTAGGTTATAAAATGGTCAGCATAATCCATTTTAATGAATTATTAGCTGAAACATGCAAAGCATTTAGGATTTCTGGGAGAAGTGTACAAACACACCAAATGTTTGACATTTTCTTCACTGCTTCTGTCTTTCCACAAGGCTGGAGATGTTGACCAACGGCCTTGGGAGGAGAGGTTGCAGCTGAGCCCACACCCTCTCAAACTCCTTCAGACTGTTTTTGTAGACTACTTTACCATTAACAACAAATCCTAACGTTTACTCAATCAGTACAGCAGTCGTTGGCCAGAGTTCAAATTTCTGATTCGAAGGAATCTGCACTCTGCCTGCCAGGATCGACTATTAATGGCTTCGTCCGTAGAGGAGCTGTGTCTTTGCTCACTACGGAATAGTATTGAGGCTTCGAAAGGGGTATTCTGCTGGTCACCTCCTGGTCATCCTTCTGCTCACCAAGAGCAGATACTGTTCTCAGCCCCTTACATTGACAAGGTCGTTTAATTCTCAGCCCTTTCAGATAGATGCGACTATTACCCCCATTTTACAGAGAAGGAAATCGAGAGGCAGAGGACATAGGTGAATTGTCCCAGAACACAGAGCTGGCCACGGAGCTGGGACTTGCACCCGGCCAGCCTGGCTCCAGAGTTCCCTGCCCTCCTCCTGTACAGCACGTGTGACCTGCAGTAATCACCGCCCAAACAGGCAGGCACTGCCGATAGCCAAGCACACGTCATCCGACTTCAGCACGGAGGAAGGTTCGTTTTCATTCTGGTGTTCAACTCAGTTAGTACTGTGTTTATCACCACAAGGGCGCACAACCGAGAAAGCTCAGTCACGTGCCGTTGCCTTCTACGGTCATGGTTTTCTACTTTTTGGCTCCATTTTCCTGCACATTTGGCCTGCTGGGACGTGAATGATGCGTTAGTACTTCTACAGAATGCAGGTGAGCAGGTGGCATGGCGAGGTGGGTGATTGGACAAGATTTCCTGACAGCTGGAAGCTTGGGGGAGACCCGCGGTGGCCCCTTCTTGTTCTTCTCTCTGGGGTCGAGCGTGAGTCCCTCATCGCTGGTGCCAGGCGGTGTCACAGTTTTTAGCACCCGACAGCCTGGGCGGCTTCTCTGTCCAGCTCCCCCCGCCCCACTTCTTTAGTGAGAAGTTCTCTGACTTGAGATTTTGCAGTCAGAAAAGTGATCATTACAATTTTCATTTTGAATATTGTGGCCCTGCTGGACTGCGGTGCAACAGGCTCTTTCATGACGACTGGCAGAGATGCCGACGGCTAGGGCATCGGAATCAACGGGAGCGAGCAGGACTCGTGGGATACAGCTTTTAGCTCCCCCGGGAGGGAGCCACAGAAATATGAATCTGCTCTTCACATGGCCGTAGCCTCTCCCGTGTCCTCCATGGAACCTGTGGAGGCAGCGTTAGGCGCTGGCCGGCTCCGGGGGGTGAGCTCAGTGAGCAAGAGAACATCTGCCCTCCCACCCCCATCTCCGCAGCTGAGTCCTCTTGCAGTTTTGATTTTTAGAATGAACGCAGCAACCTGCCCCATTCTGCTGATGCTGCAAAAAGGAGCTGGAAAGGAACGTGCACAGCTTCTCCAGTCTTAATATTTGTTACCTTGTAGTTTGGGAAACTTTGGCTTGAAACTTGGCTGTCCTAGTACAAGGATGTGCTGAGGATTCTATGATCCTGCTAGATTTTTCCAGGAGGTCAAGTTGAAAACGAGCTAGGTGCTCTCTCTGCCTCTGTCACTCTGTTTCTCTTTCTCTTGTTTGTGTCTGTCCCATCTCCCTGTTAATCTGTTCGCCTTTTCTTCTCTCCTCTCTCCATCCCTCCCTCCCTTGCTATTGCTCCAAAGAATATTCTTGTTGAATTTGTTTCTCCATATCTTCTGCCTTTCCTTAGAATACATTCCTAAGAGTCTACTCATCGTGAAAAGCAAACGGCCTTTAGCTGTTTTCCAAATCTAACAGATGGGGGTCCTTTCAGACAGAGCTTCATTTTACACTTTTATCAAGAAGCCCGGGGCTCCCTGCTCGCCATGCTGCAGTCGCCCTCAGGAGGTTCATGGAGAGCAGAGGGCTTGGGGGTACATTAAGGGGTGTCTTTTTTCCAATGTCCCGAAGGTGTACTCTGGGGAGGGGGCAGTTGAAGTAGGAAAGTGACATCAGCACTTCCTGTATGGCATGCGTTGGTCAAGTACAGTGTGCACCTGACCCCCGGACTGGCTCTAGGTGGGGAAAAAGGACTTCAGTTATTACAGGGTGGGTTGGGCTGGTGGCTCCCCAGCTCTGGGGACAGATGCGTCATCTTTCGAAGCCAGGTAGCACCTGTCTGAGACTGCACAGCCCTCCTCACCTCTTCAGTTCCTGAAGGGAAAGACCCCAGGAGACTGAGGTGAAGAAAGCTCTTCCATTCTCAACTCACCCACCATTAGGGTTCTGCCCCCTCTATCCTCCAGCCCCCGAA